CTTTTTTTCTTCTTCTATTTTTAATACACGTGGGGTTTCACCACGTTGGCCAGGCTGGTCTTGAACTTCGGACCTCACCTGATCTGCCCATCTTGGCATCCCAGAATGATGGGGATTACAGGAGTGAGCCACTGTGCCCAGCCTAGATAATTTCCTTCATAGAATTTCTTTATATAATGCAGAGTGCAGTTCAGGATCACATGTTGCACGTACTTGTCATGTGGTTTTACTTTCCTTTAATCTGGAATGGTTCCTTAATTTTTCTTTGTCATTCCTGATGCGAACATTTTTGAGGAGGATAGACCAGTTGGTTTGTAGAATGTTCAGCAGTCTGGGCTTTTTCGTGTATGTTTCAGAGATTTTCACTCAGCGTTTATTGGTGGCTACTCGTGCCATATTAGACGTCTAAGTGCTAGGACTGTAAGTGCTATGAGAAAGCATTTCAGCCTTGAGTCATTTAATACGATAAGGACACTGAGAAGTCCAATAACAGAGAAGTGCAAAGGAGGCAACAAAGTGTTGTGAGGGCAGTCTTGGGGAAAGAAGGGGGTAATATTTTTGGAAAACCCTGTTTTCCTGTTTTCTGCTAACAGACTCCTGAAATAATGTTCCTGGGATTGTGATGAGCACATTTCTTATGACACTAGCTAAAGCCTTTATTTAATAACACCGAGAGCATGAATGTGATTTCCTTATTCATATTTCATATTTTACTGCTTGAATTGATAATTTTGTTTTAATTTTTAAGGGCCGGAGCCTGAAGCTGATAGTCAGGAAGAGGTTCACCCGAAGACTGGGTGTGAGCGTGGAGATAGTCCTGATGTCCAGGAGGTGTGCCTGCCAAATCCAGAGGAGGTGCAACCGCCAGAAGCAGGTAGGCAATTTCTGAGGCATGCAGATTGCATGGTGTCTGTTTCCAGAGTGTGATATTCTTATTCCTATTGTTTTTGAGATGGAGTCCCGCCCTGTTGCCCAGGGGGAGCGCAGTGGTGCCATCTTAGCTCACAGGAACTTCCAGCTCCCAAGTTGAAGTGATTCTCCTGCCTGAGCCTCCCGAGTAGCTGGGATTACAGGCGTTCGCCTCCCAGCCTAGCTAATTTTTGTACTTTTAGTCAAGATGGGCTTTTGTCATGTTGCACGGGCTGGTCGCGAACTCCTGACCTCAGGTGATCCACCTGCCTCGGCCCCCCAAAGTGCCGGGATTCAAGTGTGAGGCACCGCGCCGAACCGAGGATTCCATTTTTAATAACGGGGAGGTAACAATACTGCCTCCTCAATAACAGAGGTCTTCTAACATAGTAGTTATTTGCAACGTAGTTCAGCGCCCGACCTATAGCCTGTCAGATAGAGAAACACACTGAGTCAAAGTCATCTTGAATGACAACTTTTGAGTATAAATCCTCCAACCAGTGGCTCATAATTTTCATATTGTTTGTAAAGGTCTGCTTTAAACAAATACATAAGACATTTGTAACACCCATCAGTTGGTGTGAAATATTCTGAAGCCCTTGATGCAGGTTCCAATACCAGCTCTCTTACAGCATTTGTGAGATTTTGAGCGGATCCTTTAACTTCTCAACCTATCTTTGGTTACTATAAAAATAGTGAGTTTAAGTCAGATATGTTAAAATCATTTTTCATTCTGGTCCTTTCATACTGTGATCCTGACGGATAGAAGGCATAGGATACAAAGATCTTCCGTTTGCATGATTTGTTTACCATATGTCATGAAACCCTGGCCTGTGTCATCTGAAAACCTGTGAGTTCAGGTTTCATTGCTGCTAAGAAAGCGAGTGGGCACTCTGCTTCATGTTTGTTTTTCTGTGTGGAGACCTGAATGTGTATGGTTAGATCCTGTCAAATTCTGAATTCTCTGGCTTCTTCTGTTTGTTTGTTTGAGACAGAGTCTCATTCTGTCACCCATGCTGGAGTGCAGTGGTGGGATTTCAGCTAGCTGTCATCTCTGCCTCCCACACTCAAGCGATCCTCCCATCTCAGCCTCTTCAGCGGCTGGAACTACATGCACAAGCCACTGTGCCTAGTTTTTTTTTTCTTTTTTTTAATTCACTATAGAGATGAGGTCTCACTATGTTGCTAAGCCTGGGATTGTCTGGCTCTTAATGAATAATTGGTTTTTAAATCTTTTCCCAAAGAAACCTTGCGTGACTGGGTTATCAAATGGCTAGAGACGGTTTAGTTTCTATCATCTGTGGCATGTTGATCAGTGATGCTCAGCATCGGTGTGGGTAGGAAGATGCCTGTGTTAAGCACGCTCCCTGCCCCACTGTCAGTCTTTATGAGCCACTATTTCTAATAAGACTGTAGACACATAGATGATATAATCAGCTCTAATCATATCAAATGTTATATGTAAGGTTCAACTTTTTGGACATGAGTTGATAAAATCTGAAGTTTAAATACCATGACTTTAATACTTCCTGAGTAATCAACTGAAGTATGTTTTACACATGTGTTTTCCAAATTACTGACTGTGAATTATAAGTGCTTCTGAGTTTAAAGGACGCACTCGATGTTTAGGGAGGAAATTACCCTTAAGTTCTGCAGATGTACCCTCAGAGTGTGTACAGAGGTTTAATTGGATGTAAGACACAGGATCACGCTTCGGGTTCTGTTTGTAGCCCATTTTCGAAAACCCAAAGTGTAATGTGCTTTGTATGCCTTTGGGGTCACCTAAATTATCTGTTGCTAAGTCATGTTCCCAACTGTTGTGTTTCTGGTACAGGTGGAAAGCAATCACAGTGTTAAAAGAAGACACGCTGAAATGATGGAGGCTGCTTTGAAGTTGGGAAGTTGTTCGTTAACGTTCTCTCAATAAAGCTATACAGCCCTTTGCAATGAAGTCTTTCGCATCTTGTGTGAACTTTATTTCTAGGTATTCGGTGCTGTCAAATATCTATCGTTCTTTGGAATTTGATATTCTAACTGTTTGTGCTGGTATGTAGAGACCCAATACTTATATATGGAGTTTTCTGTCCAGCACCCTGTTAAATATGCGTATGAATTCTAAAAGTTTACTTCTAGATCCTTTACAGTCTTCAACATGCAGAGTCATATCATCTTTGGATAAGAGTAGTTGCGTTTTTTTTTTCCTATTTCCTTTTGTGTTTTTTGAGAGACGGGTTTTGATATGTTTCCCAGGTCTGTTCTTGAACTCCTGAGTGCAAGTGATGCACCCGCTTTGGCCTCCCACAGTGCTGGGATCGTAGGCGTGGGGCACTGCACCGGGTCTGTTGCTGCCATTTGAAGAGTTTGATTTCCTCTTCTGATTTCTTGGCAGACCCACCTGGGGTACAGTGGTGATAGTGGACATCCTAGTCTTATCCGTGATGAGAAATGGAAATATTTCTCCATCGTGTTTACCGTAGTATTTTTGTAGATGGACTTTATCAGAGTAAGTTATTCCATTCTGTTCTAATTTTTTGAGAGTATTCATTTTGAATAGATGCTGAGTTTCATCAAACGGTGCATCTATTTCGATTATCACAGCATTTTTCCCATTAATCTGTTACTGCAGTGCATTAGGTTGATACATTGGTACTTTTTATTTCCTACTGAAAAAAATTGAGACAGGATCTCACTGTGTCACCCAGGCTGGAGTGCAGTGGTGTTATCCGAGCTCACTGCAGCCTTGACCTTCTGGGCTCAAGCAATAACCGCACCTCAGTCTCCTGAGTAGCTGTGAGAGTAGGTACATGCCACCACGCCCAGCTTCCTTTTCTCTGCTTTTTTTTGTTTTTTTTTTTTCTTGTGGTAGTGATGAGATTTTGCCACATTGCATAGGCTGGTCTCAAACTCCTGAGCTCAGGCGATCTGCCCAGCTCAGCCTTCCAAAAGAGTAGGATTACAGCACAGAGCCTTGGCCTGGCAAGGGTTTTCTTATCTCAGGGTTTTATTCATGTACAGACGAACATTAGACTGGGTGCCGTGGGTCACGCCTGTAATCCCAACAGGTTGAGGGGCCCAGGTGGGTGGATGACGAGGTCTGGAGTTCAAGACCAGCCTGGCCAAGATGGTAAAACCCCTTCTCTACGAAAAGTACGAAAATTAGGCGGGTGTGGTGGCACGGCATGTAGTCTCACGTACTGGAGAGCCTGAGGCTGAAGAATCGCTTGAACCGGGGAGGTGGAAGTGGAAGTTTGCTGAGATCCCACCACTGCACTACAGCCTGGGTGACAGAGTGTGACTGCATCTAAAAAAAAAAAAAAGCCCCAAAACAGACCAATCTTATTTGTACCTTTGTGCGGGACGGCTGACAGCATGATGAGATTTATCATTCTACTGATTAAAAGAAAAGTATCCTTGACACTCCAGTGTGTAAGTATGTGACAGCATAATTATTTTGAAAGCATATATTGCTACGAGTGTTGGGACCCCTGCACTTTCCGCTGCTGTGGGAGCATGTCCTTGTAGGTACCTTTAGTCTGTTTTCTCAACTACGAACATGTTGGGGCCATGGGTTGTGATTGGTAAGGAATGTGTCTTGTTAGTTTCAAGATGGGAGTTGCTTTTCAAACGGTGTCACTCTGGCTGTCCTTGGCTCCTGTTTCACGGGTACCGTCACTTCTCCTTCGGCGATTCTGATGCTACAAATGATAGATGTTCGAGTAATTTCCTACAGGTCCTTGAGGTTGTATTCATTTTTCTTTCAGTCTCTTTCTCTGACTTGTTCGTGGTGAACGATCTCTTTTTGGGGTAGGTCGTTATTTCTGTTTCAGCAGGTGGTCTAAATGTCTTTCCAGGCAGTCTCCATGGTCCCAGCCCCCATGGTGAGGCCAGAGCGAGGGAGGGCCCTGGATGGGAGGGGGGTTCAGTTGAAGGTGGAGTGAGTTTTGAGGGGAGCACTATTTGAGGGATTTGAGTCCCCGAGGCGTAGGAAACAGCAGAGGGAGGTCGGATTCCGTTATCCTCAGCGGGGATGGGACTTGGGAGTTTGGGGTGTGGGGCTTGTAACGGCAGCCCTCCCTTTCCCACCCACAGCCGCGCATGCTCCTTGGGCTCCCGTCTCAGTGCGCATGTCCACTGACCGTCTTCCGGTTGGTGCGTTCGCTCGCGTGAAGAACGCCAGGCAGCTGTGAGGGTGCGGTGTCGCGTTCCTGCCATCCGGATTCTTTTTCCTCTACGGAGACTCATCTGGTAGGTCTGAAAGCAGTCCCCCGAGGCACTGAAGTGTGAGTGAGGCTGAGGAGGAGGCAGTGAGCTTCGTGGGGGTCCGGCGGGTCCTGCTGCGTGGTCTGTGGTCTCTGAGAGAGAAGGGCCTCGTGGCCCTTGAGAGACAAGGGCCTCATGGCTTCTGAAAGAGAAGGGCCTCCTTACCTCGAAAGAGCAGGGCCTGGAGGTCATCCTCCTCTTTACATGCTGCGAGGCCACCATGAGCTTTGTGGTCGTGAAGGGGCCAGGACAGCGAGGAAGGTGGGCCGCAGAAGGGAGGCGGTCCGGGGCTCAGGTGAAGCTGGGGCGAGTGCTGGGGGTGATGTTGGAGGAATGGAAGTCCTGAGGTGCCAGAAGCCCCCCTACAGGGCAGATTCCTGAGTCCTGAATGGGTCCCCGTGGGTGGGGGCGAGGGGATGGGTGCGAGGTGGAAAGTGAAGACCGGGCCTGGCATCTGGGAAGGCTGCGGGCTGCTTCGCGCCCCCTAGCATCGTGGAGAGCAGAGCGCCCGAGTGAGAAGCCACGCCAGGTCTCACCTCCACCATGGAGGGTCCGGAAACAACGGGAAGGACTGGGCGAGGCTGTGCCGTCCAAGCAAACTTGATTTGAGGGGGGTGACTGGCTCTAGTAAGTGGGAGTGTGCCACAAGCAGTAGTCAGGGGAATTGTGATTCACTAGTGTTTTCATGTGGAGTTCACTCGTGAAAGGAAACCTCATCTGAGGAGGGCGGTTCCCTTGAGCAGGGAGGTCAAGGCTTCAGCGATCTGTGACCGCGCTGCTGCACTCCAGCCTGAGCAACAGAGCGAGACCGCGCATCCAAAAGAAATTTAGAGAAAACATGTCTGCTGCGTTTTGCCACACGCCTTAAGATGATTGTTCTGCCAGCATGGCCAGCATAAGTGGCTTTGCAGGCACTTAGAAAAGGTACACGCGTCTGCTTAACTGAGGGACTTATTGTGAGAGTGTTTTCAAAAATAAATGAGAAGTTACCGTTTAGCCACGGAAGTGATCGAATATAGCTGTCCTCGCAAGTGCACGTTCCCAATCACGATTTTTTTTATTGCTGTTTTTTCAGCGAGAAATATGAGTTGGCGTGGAAGATCAACCTATCGGCCTAATCCAAGACGCCGTATAGAACCTCCTGAGATGATTGGGCGTATGCTGGTGAGTGCTTTAATGTTAATTCGATATTTTCTATTAGCAGACAGTAATATTTGTGATAATGTTGTTGCATAGGTGTATAGACACTGATAAAATTCTTTCATGCTGATAAAAATGATTATGGCGTCTCGTGAAGGGAACATTGATTCAGGTGGATTTTGTTTCTCTCTCGTGTTCTTCAGCTTTTGCCCATGACATTTTTCTCATGGTGGGCTTGTAAATGACAGATGATACACATCGTGTAATAGCTTCCAAAGTCCTTGTGGGTCACTGTTCTCACAGTAAGCTTCCTGTGGGTGGAGTAACCTTATTGGGCATGGACAATGGATTTGGAGAAATGTCTGTTTTTTGTTTTTGTTTTTCTTTTCCTCTCCTTCCTGCTGTCTCATGAAGAAGAACTGTCTTTAGTCTTAGTTATGATCAGAAATATCTGTGTATTCTGTATATGTATATATATGTAATCTTGTATTAACAAGAAACCTGTTTTTTCTTGATTTGCAAACACACACACACACACACACACACACACACACACCCACACACTTTCCCTAGCCCGAGCAGTTCAGTGATGAAGAAGTGGTACCACCAAAACCTGAAGAAGGGGAACCGGCAGCTGAAAGTCAGGATCCTGTACCTGCTCAGGAGGGAGAAGATGAGGGAGCATCTTCAGGTCAAGGTGAAGGGAAAGGGAAGAAGAATGCCTGTGGTGGGGGGGTTGGGGTGGGGCGTGTGTCTCATGTATTGCCACATAGCAGGCACAGGAGGAAAGGAAACAATGAAAAGAATGGCTGCAGTGGACTGAAAAAGTGAGGAGGGTATATGGTTTGCAGCTTAGCTTAGGGAAACTCCTCACTATGATGAAACATGTCCACGTTATGAATAAGATCATGCAGGCTCGGAGACTGGGTTTAATCCAAGAAGAGTTGACTGGTGAATGCAAGATTTGTGCTTTGTTTCAAAGTTTGAGTCCTTCTATCATCTGTCTACGTTACTGTAAAAAGAAGTAAATAATTTTGCTGAAAATGCTTACAACTCAAATGGTTTACTGTAAGGTAGCTTAGTAGTGGCCCAGGAATAGATCCAGGTCGGAGGAGCAGGACTAGCTCTAAAAACGGAGTCACTGAACGTTGGCCACTGTTTGCTTGGATTGAAATTTTAATGTGATGGGTTTGATAAAAACTGAATGAATCGGGATACTGCCATATGTGGAGCTGCTTTAGTACGATGTTCTTTTCTTTACTATTGTTTTTCTTTTTGAGACAGAGTCTCTCGCTCTGTTGCCCAGGATGGAGTGCAGTGACGTGATCTCGGCTCATTGCAACCTGCGCCTCCTGGGTTGAAGCAGTTCTCCTGTCCTCATCCTCAGTACAGTAGCTGGGAGTATAGGCGCCCACCACCACAGGCAATTAATTTTTGTATTTTTAATAGAGACGGCATTTCACCACGTTGGTCAGGCTGCTCTTGACCTCTTCTCTTGATCTTGGGACCTGCCCGCCTCAGACTCCCAAAGTGCTGGGATTACAGGTGTGAGTCACCACGCCTGGCCGATTCAGTATGATTTTCTAATTGGGTTTAGGAGGTGATGCTATCCTCTTGTGGTTAGAAAGACCATAAAAGTAATTATTCTGAGGTCAACACGAGAGAAATAATTTCTCCTAGATAAAATAGTTTGAGGTAGGGGTGGCGGCTCACGCTTGTAATCCCAGCAGTATGGTAGGTGGATGCAGGTGGATCACCTGAGGTCAGAAGTTTGAGAACAGCCTGGCCGACGTGGTGAAACCCCATCTCTAGTAAAAATACAAAAAATTAGCTGGGCGTGGTGGTGGGCGCCTCTAATCCCAGATACTCAGGAGGCTGAGGCAGGAGAGTTACTTGATCCTGGGAGGCAGAGGTTGCAGTCAGCCAAGTTCACAGCATTGCACTCCGGCCTGGGTGACAAGAGCAAAACTCAGTCTCAAGAAAAAAAAAAAAAAGACAGTTTGAAACAAAACATTTATGTAACTCAGGTCATGGATTATTTTAGGGATTTATTTTAAAGGTTTCTCGAATATGACTGACAACAATACCCATTAATTGCTGTCCACCCGCTCCCTTATTCTCAGTGCAGGACAGTATATTTGCTGTGATTCACAAACCATGTAATTTTTGGTGCTTTGTTCTACATGGGGTTCATTTATGGACTAGTATATTTAGTACCTTTGGACAGAAATATAACTTTATTTGAAAAAGATTAAGTTTCTGTTTACCCCAATAGGTAATGGGTGTCATGAGTGTAAGATTTTCCATAGTCCTCAAGTGCATTCAGCTAATGAATCCTCAGAAATTTACATAGTAATTGTTACTGAAATCCTATCCGTGTTGTGGACTTCAGATTTCTTAGCTGATGCCCACTGCTCTTGGTAGTTTATGGCTGAATATAAGCATTGTAGAAATCCCGTGGTTTATCCTCAGATTTTCATTTAAGAGCAAGGTCTCAACGCGAGTTGAATGCCATGCACTCATAGTCTCAGCTACTTAGGAGGCTGAGCTGAGAGGATTGCTTGAGCCCCGGAGTTCAAGCCCGGAGTTCAAGCCCAGCCCGGGAAACATAGCAAGACCTTATCGCTAACAAATACATAAATAAGGATAGAAACAAAGAAATGAATACTTAAAGCTTTCATCATATAGGAAAACAAACATGCAAAGTTTGTTTCTAGTTGCTGGTAATGTTGCACACATAGGTCCTTACTGATCTGTAACATTTAAAAATAGTTAAGATGATAAATTCTATGTCGTGTGTGTGTGTGTGTGTGTGTGTGTATGTGTGTGTTTGTGTGTGTGTGTATTTTTTAAACCACAACTAAAAGAAACCTCCTGGCTTTGTAAATTCAGTGTAGTTGTCATATATTCTTCCAAGTATTTATTTGTATATTTTGAAGACATAACAATAATAGAAAATTTGCAATTTTACTACAATGAGGTCACATACTTGTCACCTAGATTTAGCAACCGTTAATAGCTTTTGCTTTATTAGTTTGATATCTGTTCCCTCCCTGTCTTACCCTGCTGCCCACACACTCACACACTCACTTATGGATATTATGTTTACTGTTCTAAATGGTCAATTGTTTAGATAAAGTTTCAGGTACTGTGGCCCTTCACCCTGTGTACTTGATTGTGTGTATATTGTCCGAACCTAGAAGAAGTCATTCCTTGGATTCTCACTGCACAAAGACCAAAATCAGCAAATTTAACAATGAGAAAATGCAGTCATTTCGCGTACAGTGTGTACTCAACTTTTGCCAGTTATTCAGACACTTGCATTGATTGATTGATTGAGAGAGAGTCTCACTGTGTTGCCCAGGCTGGAGTGCAGTAGTACGATGTTGGCTTACTGCAGCCTACCGTCTGAGGATGAAGGGATTCTCATGCCTCAGCCTTCTGAGTAGCTGGGAGTACAGTTGCCGGCCATCGCGCCTGGCTAATGTTTCTTTTTCTTTCTTTCTTTTTTTCTTCTTCTATTTTTAATACACGTGGGGTTTCACCACGTTGGCCAGGCTGGTCTTGAACTTCGGACCTCACCTGATCTGCCCATCTTGGCATCCCAGAATGATGGGGATTACAGGAGTGAGCCACTGTGCCCAGCCTAGATAATTTCCTTCATAGAATTTCTTTATATAATGCAGAGTGCAGTTCAGGATCACATGTTGCACGTACTTGTCATGTGGTTTTACTTTCCTTTAATCTGGAATGGTTCCTTAATTTTTCTTTGTCATTCCTGATGCGAACATTTTTGAGGAGGATAGACCAGTTGGTTTGTAGAATGTTCAGCAGTCTGGGCTTTTTCGTGTATGTTTCAGAGATTTTCACTCAGCGTTTATTGGTGGCTACTCGTGCCATATTAGACGTCTAAGTGCTAGGACTGTAAGTGCTATGAGAAAGCATTTCAGCCTTGAGTCATTTAATACGATAAGGACACTGAGAAGTCCAATAACAGAGAAGTGCAAAGGAGGCAACAAAGTGTTGTGAGGGCAGTCTTGGGGAAAGAAGGGGGTAATATTTTTGGAAAACCCTGTTTTCCTGTTTTCTGCTAACAGACTCCTGAAATAATGTTCCTGGGATTGTGATGAGCACATTTCTTATGACACTAGCTAAAGCCTTTATTTAATAACACCGAGAGCATGAATGTGATTTCCTTATTCATATTTCATATTTTACTGCTTGAATTGATAATTTTGTTTTAATTTTTAAGGGCCGGAGCCTGAAGCTGATAGTCAGGAAGAGGTTCACCCGAAGACTGGGTGTGAGCGTGGAGATAGTCCTGATGTCCAGGAGGTGTGCCTGCCAAATCCAGAGGAGGTGCAACCGCCAGAAGCAGGTAGGCAATTTCTGAGGCATGCAGATTGCATGGTGTCTGTTTCCAGAGTGTGATATTCTTATTCCTATTGTTTTTGAGATGGAGTCCCGCCCTGTTGCCCAGGGGGAGCGCAGTGGTGCCATCTTAGCTCACAGGAACTTCCAGCTCCCAAGTTGAAGTGATTCTCCTGCCTGAGCCTCCCGAGTAGCTGGGATTACAGGCGTTCGCCTCCCAGCCTAGCTAATTTTGTACTTTTAGTCAAGATGGGCTTTTGTCATGTTGCACGGGCTGGTCGCGAACTCCTGACCTCAGGTGATCCACCTGCCTCGGCCCCCCAAAGTGCCGGGATTCAAGTGTGAGGCACCGCGCCGAACCGAGGATTCCATTTTTAATAACGGGGAGGTAACAATACTGCCTCCTCAATAACAGAGGTCTTCTAACATAGTAGTTATTTGCAACGTAGTTCAGCGCCCGACCTATAGCCTGTCAGATAGAGAAACACACTGAGTCAAAGTCATCTTGAATGACAACTTTTGAGTATAAATCCTCCAACCAGTGGCTCATAATTTTCATATTGTTTGTAAAGGTCTGCTTTAAACAAATACATAAGACATTTGTAACACCCATCAGTTGGTGTGAAATATTCTGAAGCCCTTGATGCAGGTTCCAATACCAGCTCTCTTACAGCATTTGTGAGATTTTGAGCGGATCCTTTAACTTCTCAACCTATCTTTGGTTACTATAAAAATAGTGAGTTTAAGTCAGATATGTTAAAATCATTTTTCATTCTGGTCCTTTCATACTGTGATCCTGACGGATAGAAGGCATAGGATACAAAGATCTTCCGTTTGCATGATTTGTTTACCATATGTCATGAAACCCTGGCCTGTGTCATCTGAAAACCTGTGAGTTCAGGTTTCATTGCTGCTAAGAAAGCGAGTGGGCACTCTGCTTCATGTTTGTTTTTCTGTGTGGAGACCTGAATGTGTATGGTTAGATCCTGTCAAATTCTGAATTCTCTGGCTTCTTCTGTTTGTTTGTTTGAGACAGAGTCTCATTCTGTCACCCATGCTGGAGTGCAGTGGTGGGATTTCAGCTAGCTGTCATCTCTGCCTCCCACACTCAAGCGATCCTCCCATCTCAGCCTCTTCAGCGGCTGGAACTACATGCACAAGCCACTGTGCCTAGTTTTTTTTTTTCTTTTTTTTAATTCACTATAGAGATGAGGTCTCACTATGTTGCTAAGCCTGGGATTGTCTGGCTCTTAATGAATAATTGGTTTTTAAATCTTTTCCCAAAGAAACCTTGCGTGACTGGGTTATCAAATGGCTAGAGACGGTTTAGTTTCTATCATCTGTGGCATGTTGATCAGTGATGCTCAGCATCGGTGTGGGTAGGAAGATGCCTGTGTTAAGCACGCTCCCTGCCCCACTGTCAGTCTTTATGAGCCACTATTTCTAATAAGACTGTAGACACATAGATGATATAATCAGCTCTAATCATATCAAATGTTATATGTAAGGTTCAACTTTTTGGACATGAGTTGATAAAATCTGAAGTTTAAATACCATGACTTTAATACTTCCTGAGTAATCAACTGAAGTATGTTTTACACATGTGTTTTCCAAATTACTGACTGTGAATTATAAGTGCTTCTGAGTTTAAAGGACGCACTCGATGTTTAGGGAGGAAATTACCCTTAAGTTCTGCAGATGTACCCTCAGAGTGTGTACAGAGGTTTAATTGGATGTAAGACACAGGATCACGCTTCGGGTTCTGTTTGTAGCCCATTTTCGAAAACCCAAAGTGTAATGTGCTTTGTATGCCTTTGGGGTCACCTAAATTATCTGTTGCTAAGTCATGTTCCCAACTGTTGTGTTTCTGGTACAGGTGGAAAGCAATCACAGTGTTAAAAGAAGACACGCTGAAATGATGGAGGCTGCTTTGAAGTTGGGAAGTTGTTCGTTAACGTTCTCTCAATAAAGCTATACAGCCCTTTGCAATGAAGTCTTTCGCATCTTGTGTGAACTTTATTTCTAGGTATTCGGTGCTGTCAAATATCTATCGTTCTTTGGAATTTGATATTCTAACTGTTTGTGCTGGTATGTAGAGACCCAATACTTATATATGGAGTTTTCTGTCCAGCACCCTGTTAAATATGCGTATGAATTCTAAAAGTTTACTTCTAGATCCTTTACAGTCTTCAACATGCAGAGTCATATCATCTTTGGATAAGAGTAGTTGCGTTTTTTTTTTCCTATTTCCTTTTGTGTTTTTTGAGAGACGGGTTTTGATATGTTTCCCAGGTCTGTTCTTGAACTCCTGAGTGCAAGTGATGCACCCGCTTTGGCCTCCCACAGTGCTGGGATCGTAGGCGTGGGGCACTGCACCGGGTCTGTTGCTGCCATTTGAAGAGTTTGATTTCCTCTTCTGATTTCTTGGCAGACCCACCTGGGGTACAGTGGTGATAGTGGACATCCTAGTCTTATCCGTGATGAGAAATGGAAATATTTCTCCATCGTGTTTACCGTAGTATTTTTGTAGATGGACTTTATCAGAGTAAGTTATTCCATTCTGTTCTAATTTTTTGAGAGTATTCATTTTGAATAGATGCTGAGTTTCATCAAACGGTGCATCTATTTCGATTATCACAGCATTTTTCCCATTAATCTGTTACTGCAGTGCATTAGGTTGATACATTGGTACTTTTTATTTCCTACTGAAAAAAATTGAGACAGGATCTCACTGTGTCACCCAGGCTGGAGTGCAGTGGTGTTATCCGAGCTCACTGCAGCCTTGACCTTCTGGGCTCAAGCAATAACCGCACCTCAGTCTCCTGAGTAGCTGTGAGAGTAGGTACATGCCACCACGCCCAGCTTCCTTTTCTCTGCTTTTTTTTGTTTTTTTTTTTTCTTGTGGTAGTGATGAGATTTTGCCACATTGCATAGGCTGGTCTCAAACTCCTGAGCTCAGGCGATCTGCCCAGCTCAGCCTTCCAAAAGAGTAGGATTACAGCACAGAGCCTTGGCCTGGCAAGGGTTTTCTTATCTCAGGGTTTTATTCATGTACAGACGAACATTAGACTGGGTGCCGTGGGTCACGCCTGTAATCCCAACAGGTTGAGGGGCCCAGGTGGGTGGATGACGAGGTCTGGAGTTCAAGACCAGCCTGGCCAAGATGGTAAAACCCCTTCTCTACGAAAAGTACGAAAATTAGGCGGGTGTGGTGGCACGGCATGTAGTCTCACGTACTGGAGAGCCTGAGGCTGAAGAATCGCTTGAACCGGGGAGGTGGAAGTGGAAGTTTGCTGAGATCCCACCACTGCACTACAGCCTGGGTGACAGAGTGTGACTGCATCTAAAAAAAAAAAAAGCCCCAAAACAGACCAATCTTATTTGTACCTTTGTGCGGGACGGCTGACAGCATGATGAGATTTATCATTCTACTGATTAAAAGAAAAGTATCCTTGACACTCCAGTGTGTAAGTATGTGACAGCATAATTATTTTGAAAGCATATATTGCTACGAGTGTTGGGACCCCTGCACTTTCCGCTGCTGTGGGAGCATGTCCTTGTAGGTACCTTTAGTCTGTTTTCTCAACTACGAACATGTTGGGGCCATGGGTTGTGATTGGTAAGGAATGTGTCTTGTTAGTTTCAAGATGGGAGTTGCTTTTCAAACGGTGTCACTCTGGCTGTCCTTGGCTCCTGTTTCACGGGTACCGTCACTTCTCCTTCGGCGATTCTGATGCTACAAATGATAGATGTTCGAGTAATTTCCTACAGGTCCTTGAGGTTGTATTCATTTTTCTTTCAGTCTCTTTCTCTGACTTGTTCGTGGTGAACGATCTCTTTTTGGGGTAGGTCGTTATTTCTGTTTCAGCAGGTGGTCTAAATGTCTTTCCAGGCAGTCTCCATGGTCCCAGCCCCCATGGTGAGGCCAGAGCGAGGGAGGGCCCTGGATGGGAGGGGGGTTCAGTTGAAGGTGGAGTGAGTTTTGAGGGGAGCACTATTTGAGGGATTTGAGTCCCCGAGGCGTAGGAAACAGCAGAGGGAGGTCGGATTCCGTTATCCTCAGCGGGGATGGGACTTGGGAGTTTGGGGTGTGGGGCTTGTAACGGCAGCCCTCCCTTTCCCACCCACAGCCGCGCATGCTCCTTGGGCTCCCGTCTCAGTGCGCATGTCCACTGACCGTCTTCCGGTTGGTGCGTTCGCTCGCGTGAAGAACGCCAGGCAGCTGTGAGGGTGCGGTGTCGCGTTCCTGCCATCCGGATTCTTTTTCCTCTACGGAGACTCATCTGGTAGGTCTGAAAGCAGTCCCCCGAGGCACTGAAGTGTGAGTGAGGCTGAGGAGGAGGCAGTGAGCTTCGTGGGGGTCCGGCGGGTCCTGCTGCGTGGTCTGTGGTCTCTGAGAGAGAAGGGCCTCGTGGCCCTTGAGAGACAAGGGCCTCATGGCTTCTGAAAGAGAAGGGCCTCCTTACCTCGAAAGAGCAGGGCCTGGAGGTCATCCTCCTCTTTACATGCTGCGAGGCCACCATGAGCTTTGTGGTCGTGAAGGGGCCAGGACAGCGAGGAAGGTGGGCCGCAGAAGGGAGGCGGTCCGGGGCTCAGGTGAAGCTGGGGCGAGTGCTGGGGGTGATGTTGGAGGAATGGAAGTCCTGAGGTGCCAGAAGCCCCCCTACAGGGCAGATTCCTGAGTCCTGAATGGGTCCCCGTGGGTGGGGGCGAGGGGATGGGTGCGAGGTGGAAAGTGAAGACCGGGCCTGGCATCTGGGAAGGCTGCGGGCTGCTTCGCGCCCCCTAGCATCGTGGAGAGCAGAGCGCCCGAGTGAGAAGCCACGCCAGGTCTCACCTCCACCATGGAGGGTCCGGAAACAACGGGAAGGACTGGGCGAGGCTGTGCCGTCCAAGCAAACTTGATTTGAGGGGGGTGACTGGCTCTAGTAAGTGGGAGTGTGCCACAAGCAGTAGTCAGGGGAATTGTGATTCACTAGTGTTTTCATGTGGAGTTCACTCGTGAAAGGAAACCTCATCTGAGGAGGGCGGTTCCCTTGAGCAGGGAGGTCAAGGCTTCAGCGATCTGTGACCGCGCTGCTGCACTCCAGCCTGAGCAACAGAGCGAGACCGCGCATCCAAAAGAAATTTAGAGAAAACATGTCTGCTGCGTTTTGCCACACGCCTTAAGATGATTGTTCTGCCAGCATGGCCAGCATAAGTGGCTTTGCAGGCACTTAGAAAAGGTACACGCGTCTGCTTAACTGAGGGACTTATTGTGAGAGTGTTTTCAAAAATAAATGAGAAGTTACCGTTTAGCCACGGAAGTGATCGAATATAGCTGTCCTCGCAAGTGCACGTTCCCAATCACGATTTTTTTTATTGCTGTTTTTTCAGCGAGAAATATGAGTTGGCGTGGAAGATCAACCTATCGGCCTAATCCAAGACGCCGTATAGAACCTCCTGAGATGATTGGGCGTATGCTGGTGAGTGCTTTAATGTTAATTCGATATTTTCTATTAGCAGACAGTAATATTTGTGATAATGTTGTTGCATAGGTGTATAGACACTGATAAAATTCTTTCATGCTGATAAAAATGATTATGGCGTCTCGTGAAGGGAACATTGATTCAGGTGGATTTTGTTTCTCTCTCGTGTTCTTCAGCTTTTGCCCATGACATTTTTCTCATGGTGGGCTTGTAAATGACAGATGATACACATCGTGTAATAGCTTCCAAAGTCCTTGTGGGTCACTGTTCTCACAGTAAGCTTCCTGTGGGTGGAGTAACCTTATTGGGCATGGACAATGGATTTGGAGAAATGTCTGTTTTTTGTTTTTGTTTTTCTTTTCCTCTCCTTCCTGCTGTCTCATGAAGAAGAACTGTCTTTAGTCTTAGTTATGATCAGAAATATCTGTGTATTCTGTATATGTATATATATATGTAATCTTGTATTAACAAGAAACCTGTTTTTTCTTGATTTGCAAACACACACACACACACACACACACACACACACACACCCACACACTTTCCCTAGCCCGAGCAGTTCAGTGATGAAGAAGTGGTACCACCAAAACCTGAAGAAGGGGAACCGGCAGCTGAAAGTCAGGATCCTGTACCTGCTCAGGAGGGAGAAGATGAGGGAGCATCTTCAGGTCAAGGTGAAGGGAAAGGGAAGAAGAATGCCTGTCGTGGGGGGGATGGGGTGGGGCGTGTGTCTCATGTATTGCCACATAGCAGGCACAGGAGGAAAGGAAACAATGAAAAGAATGGCTGCAGTGGACTGAAAAAGTGAGGAGGGTATATGGTTTGCAGCTTAGCTTAGGGAAACTCCTCACTATGATGAAACATGTCCACGTTATGAATAAGATCATGCAGGCTCGGAGACTGGGTTTAATCCAAGAAGAGTTGACTGGTGAATGCAAGATTTGTGCTTTGTTTCAAAGTTTGAGTCCTTCTATCATCTGTCTACGTTACTGTAAAAAGAAGTAAATAATTTTGCTGAAAATGCTTACAACTCAAATGGTTTACTGTAAGGTAGCTTAGTAGTGGCCCAGGAATAGATCCAGGTCGGAGGAGCAGGACTAGCTCTAAAAACGGAGTCACTGAACGTTGGCCACTGTTTGCTTGGATTGAAATTTTAATGTGATGGGTTTGATAAAAACTGAATGAATCGGGATACTGCCATATGTGGAGCTGCTTTAGTACGATGTTCTTTTCTTTACTATTGTTTTTCTTTTTGAGACAGAGTCTCTCGCTCTGTTGCCCAGGATGGAGTGCAGTGACGTGATCTCGGCTCATTGCAACCTGCGCCTCCTGGGTTGAAGCAGTTCTCCTGTCCTCATCCTCAGTACAGTAGCTGGGAGTATAGGCGCCCACCACCACAGGCAATTAATTTTTGTATTTTTAATAGAGACGGCATTTCACCACGTTGGTCAGGCTGCTCTTGACCTCTTCTCTTGATCTTGGGACCTGCCCGCCTCAGACTCCCAAAGTGCTGGGATTACAGGTG